ATGTTCAATAAGCAACAACCCCCCCCCCCCCCCCGCATCTTGTGAGAACTTAACTAAATCAAAGAAGAATGGGAAATAATTGCACCAAGACAACTTGCATAGTTAGTGGAGACTTGCAAAAACACCTGCAGCTCTAACAGCTGCCAGACACACTTCCACCAAACAGAGTTCATACTGTAGATTTACTGTTAATATTTCTGCAATAAACATATTTCAGTTTTCTTTCAGTTTATCCATGTGACAATAACATACGTAACCCTTAGAAGCAAAAGTATGAGCACAGAGTTTATGAATAAAATACTAAGTTTAAAACATGTATCACTTTCCAATTCCACAAAATGGGAGACCACAGGAAGGGTCTGAATACTTTTGCAAGACACTGTACAGTTTCCATTATTATTTTTGAGACCCATCACTTTAGTACTATAAAAAAGAACAGTGAATGTAGAAAAACTTTTATCTCACTGCAATATTATTTTCTAGTTCTCTCTTGAATGTAAGAAACATGACAAACAAGAAGAGGCAATTAAGTTCAGCAAGACTGTTAGCTAGTAGCTAATTGATCAGAGATTCTCATCCAGGATTTCTTCAAAAGAAGCCAGGATACCAGCTACAACAACATCACTGGACCACTTGGCCATTCTAATAATCTTCTACCTGTGTTTGCTCCTTTTCTTTAACTGGATCTTTTTCTGTCTTTTTTAGACGGTGTAAGGAAAATGGCTGATTTATAAAGTTTATCATTGAGGTGTTAGCCAAACAAGAAATCATCAATATGCCTCATCAACATACATGAGCAAAGGATATTTTCTATGTTAAATGTAACTAGCATATTATTGAAATGGCTGGAGTATTAGAAAAACTTACCATAAACATCTCCAGGACCTCATAGTATTCTACTATCTCACTGTCAAGATTGATGAAGATGACCCATGAATAACTGAATAAACTGAGTCCCTTTAAAATTACATATGCTAGCATTTTGTCAGATAAAAAAATAACACTTCTTAAAGTTGATTTTTTTTATGTACAGTACTTATCTAAAATCACTACAGTTAATTAAATGTGTTCACACTCACTTTTACTCTTACTATAAAGCTTATAGCTCTCCATGTAATATAAAAAAGGTATTTAAAGAAAGATTTAGTTTCAAACTTACACTGTCTAGCTAAAACACACACAAGACAATGAGAAGAAACATTTCTAGCGGTCACAAATCAAAAGTCAAAAATCATTACAGAATTAAATATTATATAAGGAAGAAACATTTTGTTCAACATCAGCTCCTTGATTTTTACTTTTGGAAGTATTTTGAAACAATGTTTTTGTTCATAACATGAAAAAACTTCAGCCCAAACTAAGAATAACTCATTCACCATTATCTATTTTAGAATTCTCTATATAACCTTTAAACCACAAGTTCTCCTATCAATGCACTTCTGCATTTTATCACATGACGGTGATAAAAACACAGTTCCTGAAAAGTTTTGTGAAATAACATCTTTCAGCACCATCAGCTCTTTTAACTGATCTTTTAACCAATATTGTGGAGATGTAGACATATACTAGCACCTCTCATTTGCAATGAACTAGTCTATTTAACTCATACGTATGAGTACTTCACGACAGGATCAATCTTCAACCTACTTCGAAACGTATTAGTTTATCACTGATAAAAACTGTAGTCTGACAATATTTATTAAACTAAATTAGTGACTAACGTTATTTCCAGTAAATAATTCACTTTTAAATGTAATATTCTACAAAATAATAGTGAAAAAGATTAAATTCCCTTTCAAAAGGCAGTAAAATGTATAAAAGGAACATTGAAACTACGGACACATCGATAAAAAGTTTTGGGAATAAGATAGACAACTGTGCGTTTTCAGTCCTCTGCATGATTTCTTTGTCTACTATTTTTCTCCCATAAGAAGTCCTTCTTAAAAATGTTTACAAATTTGTTAAATTTTAAAAAAAAAGAACTAAAAGAATAAAGTATAAAGGTGTGAGCCTGGCCAATACCTGAATGGGAGACCTCCCGGATAAGCTAAGGGTGCAGGTGAAAATGCTGTTAGTGGGATAGTAGGGAGCGCTCATTCTGCAGTCTGTGTGGGTTCTGATGCCTCATTATAGTCTAAAACACTATACTGTAAAATGGGTGCAATCCTTTGGATCAGAGGTGTATTCCTGAAAAGAGCAGGTGTGTTACCACAGTGTCCTGACCAAATTTCCCACTGCCCTTTACCAATCATGTCCTTCTAATAATCTCCATTTATGAACTGGCTTCATCACTCTGTTCTCCTCCCCACTGATAGCTAATGTGTGGTGAGTGTACATCAGCGGTACAGGGAAATCCACATTACATAAACAATATGTAATAGGAACAAATTATTATTATTACTAGTAGTAGTAATTTAGTAGTAATTTAACATAATTCACTGTCATGCCAGGCTTACTTCTCAGGCATTCTTTGTCAAGACCACTTGACATCCTTGTGGGAATGTGTCTCTCACTTTCCACCAATGATTAATTAAAACCAGGTAAATCTAAACACAAATGAGGCCCAGACAACCTCTAGTGGTAGGTTAGCTGAAACTAATGTATCAGTCCAGCTGGCCTGCCATAACACTGTAGAGACACCTACTATTTTTAATCCTGAATGCGACAGCACATAATTTCAATGTTATTTTCAATATGTAATTTTAAAAAACAGTATTCTGTGTTCAATGGATTCAATTATCTTAAAACTGTAACATATCTCTCAGTCCATGCATTGCTCTCTCTATGTTGAACGGTTTCTGAAATTTTATTTGTCATTTGTATATAGATTCACTTGGTGGAGGAAAACAGGATTAATATTTTTTCCATGCTGTGATAACTAACATTGAAGAACAAAAAAGCTGTAATTTAAAATGGACATCTTTTCTTATGTTTAATCCAACGTCCCTCTTTGATCTAACTGGTGAAGGTACTGTACTTCTCACTTTTCAACCTGATCTGTCATGATTCACTTACTGTAGGTGGTTACTACACTTCTGCAGTGGATGAAATGGGCCCTCTCCTATAAACAACATATTCTGTGATTTAGCTTTGGGATATTTGTTTTATTGTTTGGGATATATAAATGAAAAGAAGGTATATTAATGAAATAAATTATTGTTGTCTTAATGAAAACAATCCTGAACATAGATTTATCTAAATCCTTCTCACATTTTTTGTACTACAAAATATTAAGTAAGCACAAATATGGTAAGTGAATATGGTATGTAAAACTTTTCTACTTTAATTTTAATGTTCCAGTTGTCTCTCTAGTACTGAAGAGATACCTTAGCATCTTTCAAGAAGCTTCTAGATCTTAGATAGGCCAAATTCCCTCCTTTCATGTGTAAGCTTTCTACCTTTCTTACTCTCTTAAAATATTCAGACAATTCTCCCATAAATGATTAAATAGTGGATTATGTGTAGACATTTGTCACTATGCACTTTGTATTCCTGTTAATATTTTGTGTGTGTGAATATATTCCTTCATTTCTAGACAACACCTATAGATACTGTATGTGCAATGATTCAGATCTTCCGTTAACATAACACACAACTTTCCACGATATAATTGCTTGTATTTCTGAGAAATACAAACTAGTACAGTACAATATTGTCTTGAACTTTCTTGCTATGAAAAACAAAATACAATTTACTGAGAAAAAATAAATTACACTCTTGAAGCTCAAAATGGACAATGTTAATATTAGTTCAGGTGGGTAGCTGCGTCAGCATGCGTAGGCTGCAATGTTAATATTAAACTATAAATATTGTTTTATTTTAAATTTTAAAAAACCTTAATCATCCCTGACAAGGACAGACGCAGCTTTCACTAAAACTACTCCACTCCCTGTATTTCACATTCTTCAATATTTAGATTTACAATGTGCCGTAGCTCGGAATGTAAACTAAAACCTTTTAAAAATCTTAAACTTAAAGCATCCGCAGCAACGACAAACAGTATGTGTGGAGCGATGGATAAACCAACCTGTTGAGTCACTGCATTCCGTCATTTCCGTTTATTTCGATACCACATCGTTTGAGACACAATACAGTTTAAAACAAATAAGGGTGTAGTGTATTTAGAAATTATTTCAAAATATCATATATTTACCCTTTAGAACATCTAATAAATTCGGTATCTGCATTAACTTGAACACAAATGAATGATTCGAAGAGGGCTACAGAATTAGCTATGTAGCGCAATTGCGTAACAGGCCGAGGATGCTTGCAGATATTATTTTTAAATATTAAATAACGTCTATCAATACACGGGTTTAAAACGAGTATACACGTAAGATATGTGTTATTAAAGCACAAAATATTTGATAACTATATAAATATCTTATATGCTCTGAAATATCAGTATTTCAAGATGAACCTGCAGACCTGCACTTTGCTTTGAAATGCTAAGATCACGAACTAAACGATATCTATTCAATTTCGCACAGACCTTTCTACAAATATTATTTATTTTTAATAAAAAAGTTTTTTTATAAAGCGGGGAAAAGATTGGGAAAGAGGCAGTTGGAGGATCGCTGAAAGCAAATGCTGTATTTAAAATATGACATTAGCCAAGTGCCATTAGCTGGACGTGTGGCGCTGGCGGCTCTGCGGACATCCTGGTACACTCGGCACCGAGCCTTGGCTGGACACCGGGTCCTCAAACAACGCCGGACATTCCCCGCAGCCTGTCAGCTTTTATCTAAACACACTTATAGTGATAAAAGGGTTTTGCTTCCTTGTTTCACATTTTAGAACTAAGTAAATAACCCAGCACATAACCTAAAAGATGATTATGTTAGCTGAAACGTTTCAATACACTTATGTTCAATTATACTAGGGAATTACGAACAAGACTACACACACTCATCTTGCTGTAATGTTATAATGCTTAATTCAGTCAAGTGAGTCAGAAAGCCCTTTTCAAAAATGATAGATGGTGATTAGCAGCTACATACCTTCCACTCTAGAGCGGAGGTCCGACACAGTTTTCTGGACAGCAGGCATCACTGTGGAGAGCCGACTGACGGGACACCTGTCAACTGCGGCTAAACCTCCTCTGATCCGTCGATTCTCTGCAACGGTCGATTAATCTAAAAAAATCTCCACACGTAGCACAACAATACCGCTACGTGCGAAATAAAGATATTAAAATTATCGTGAGTAGTTCTTGACGTTGAAAAAGAAAAGCGAAACTGAAAAGGGACTAATGAGTTCCGCTACTACCAGTAGACTGATCAGCGACTGACAGCTTCTCTCCAGCTCTGAACAAGAACGAGAGCGCCTCCTTACAGTCTGGAGCAGACCACTGCACAGCAGGGGAAACACTGGTGGACTCACCGACTTCATAGTTTGCTAAGGTTTAGATTTAGTTCTTAAAAGAATACTTTGAATTACAGCATTGCAGTATTTTAACATATATATTTAGTTGAGATAATTCGGTGTGTGCTTGTTCCTGTATTTTATCCACACGAGAGTACAAAGTTGTGTCTCACCCCCTCTGTGATTATATATTAGGTGGTCCCACTGAGTACCCGCATTTTAGAATTCATTTGAGCAACAAAGAGAATGGCTCAGCAGTTGGCTATAGCTGTTTAATGCGTGTGGTGCTATAACGTGCTTTTTCTAGGGGGGGAGATGCCTTCTGATATAATTAATTTAAAGAAAATCAACCGAAAATTATTTTTGTTGCTCATAAAGTAATTTCTGTTTTCAATTTTTTTTATTGTTTTTGCTTGGTCCGCCCACTTATTTGGTACCTAACTACATATTCTGTGAACAGTATCAGAAGTAGAATATTTCTATCGTGTTATTACATTAGCTGGCTATCGGACAAAACAATTGCTGCTATATACGAGAATTATGTGTCTGAAGTTTTTTTAATCGCTAAAAGGCAGTAATTACTAGTTTTAGTATTACTAATGCAAATAAATCATCATAAGAGTTCATAATAAGATTTATATAGTCCTCGTGGATGCGAAATGCTTTCTGGTAAAGGCAGTATCACGTGATTCTCATGTGATCCGATTAACTGACTTGTACTGAACCCGTGAAGACTTAAGGGGATGGCGGTGGTCGCATTTCAGCCACCATGGTTGCAAAGAGAAGCCCTAACATGTCAATTTCTGCCTTTCCAATATAATAGCGAATATATTAAATAAGGTATCTTGTAAATAGTTACAGGTATTATTTTCCTTTAAATAGGAGCCATTTTAGATTTTGGTACAAGTGAGCCAAATACAGTACATATTAAACTTTTTAAAGCACAGTTCACTTTTAGTACACTGGTGCACTTTTTTCGTCTTGTTACAAATCTCTTCAGGAAATTCCTGTAAATCAGGTTTTGTGCTAATCTTCAAGTTTGAAAGATTTGTAAATTGTATATACATTATCACAAAAGTATGCCTTTGAGGAGTGATCCAGTGTATTCATCCTTATCCTTTGACGTACTGTATAGAGCTCAGGGTAGTGGACAGCTGTTTTTAAGTGATTATCCATGGGTTAAAATCACTAATGCCTTATAGACCTTTCAGTGGACGTCAATCGAAATTAGAAAGCTCGCCATCTGGTGGTAGTTGACCGTTCCTGGACACTTCGTGGAAAAACAACAGCGTTAGAGAAAAGTTAACTACTGTAGCTTATTGTTTATTTTATTATACCTTTGTATACATTATGTATTTCTGGGCCAGCAGCCATGTCACCCTGCAGCTTACAATTGGCAGTCCATTGAAGCTAAGTAGGTGTGAGCCTGGTTAGGACCTTGATGGGAGACCTCCTGGGGAAAACTAAGGTTGCTGCTGGAAGAGGTGTTAGTGTTAGGCCAGCAGGGTCAGCTCAAAAATTTGGTTCAAACCACCGAATGGAGATGGGTGTGCTGACAAGCAGACCCTGCTGATGCGGGATTAACGCTAGGATGAGAGAGAGATACATTATTTATTTCTGTAAAAAAATTTAACATGAAAAAAGAATAGTGTGTGAAATATTTTTTGCATATTTTTTAAAGTAATATTTTGGAAATAACATGTTTGTATTTTATATAGTATGTACTGTATGTTAAAACTATACATAGTCTGTAACCTACTGTCTCTAACATGGAGCCCAGAGCACACTCACTCTAGCCTTTGGTGTTTTGTATGAACCCCTCCTGGATTATGTGTTAACCGTGTTTTCCCTTTCTGGGGAAAACTCTTCAGCAACTCTTTGATATAACATAGTGAGTGATGAAAAAATTAACAAGTGGAATTGGAAGTGCAGTAAAAAGAATGTGACAAAAATAATAGGAATTAAGTAGTGGTGGGACCAGCCAGTGGCTGAAAGACAATAAGATACATTCATACTGTAGTTACAACCTTAAATGGCTGGCCTTTGATGCACAAATTTAAATAAGTTTCTATTTCTGTCACACTATGTTTTTCAGGACTATCATGAGACAGGGATTATCAGATTTTATCCTGCAGGAAGATAAGTGATCATTTGAAATGTAAATGGCACTTTTAGTAAATGAATTGTGGAGGCTGAATTTGAGGTTTTAAGGAATGTCTGATTGGTAATGTCTGTATAAACAAACAAGACAGAATAAGGGTTTGACAGAACCATAATAGTTCCACCACAACAACCAGGTTGTGATTGTAATATAATAAAACTATTGCATTGAAGAGTACTTTGAACTGTAAAACTAGATTCCAAAACAAAGCAGACTTTGGAGAAATGAGATGGAATGGGATCAGTTGGAAATACAGAATCAGTATGAAATGAAAAACAAGTTAAGCATATTATGCTTAAAGAGATTCAGAGCAGATAATTTTGTTATAATGCAGTGGTCACAATAGATAACAAAAAATAACATATGACATAGATTTTCTAAAGACTTTTAATTTCCTCATATAAAGAATAATTATAAAACCACATGTGGCAGGTATAAAAAATAAAGTATTGGTTTGTGTTTAGAACTAGTAAATGGACAGAAGTGAGAGTTTAGACAAGGGATAAATACTTAAATTAGAGTAATGCAATTAGTGGACTACTGGATGAGTCTGTTTTAGGACTGCTGCTCTTCTTAAAGGGGAACTGCAGTCCCAAACTGTCAGACTGGTTATAAAATCTCGATAACAATTTAAATTCATTGACAGCATAGCAATAGAAAAAATTGTCAAATTTCAAATTAAGCATAAAACCGTGACTTTTAAGAAAGTGCTTTGACTCACCATGTTGTTGTAAACCTCTGGTCTCGCCACAGGCAAGAGCGAGCGTTCACTCAAATTATGACGTGATGTGGCCCTTGCAGCTCACTAGTCACTGTAATGACTAATGCAATGCGTTGTACAGACAGTACAGCAGACATTTCACCATAGATACGTTCCAGCGTGATCAGTATGCAGAGTTTACAAGTAGTATTTGTCAGCAAAACCTTCTCGAAGTAGAGAGCAATATTTCTATTGGATTAAAAAAGATGTTTTCACAAACCTGCTTGTTTACAATGTAATAGGGTTGCTTCAACTCACCTGATATTTCCACAGAGACATGGACAAATCCTTTCTACAATTAAGACACAGGTTGACCATTCTTCTTTGTTGTGCTGCAAAACACCACAATGTTTAATATATCTTAAATCTCACGAACCTACAGTACGTTACTGCTCCTTCAGACATGTAGTATCCGTAAAAGAATAGAACAGTATGCATTTATGAATATTTGTCATTTTATGTTCATGACAGAACTGTGTAAGAGTGTACTGTTCAATTATACGATTGACATTGCTATTCCAACTTCCTTGTTATAGGCCTGTCTGCACATAATTAATTTCCCTCACTATCATTCTTAACATCTCTTTTGTTCATATTTTCTCTCACTTTTACTAACGCTCTTCTTTTCACAATATTTGCATAATTATGATTCACAGTCTGACAGGCCACATGTACTCACCCCCAGAAAAGTTTCTTCTCTGTCTCTGAGTCATGTGAAGAAGCACCATGTGTCTAGCAGTGTCAGGAGATAGACAGGCAGCACCTCTCCCTCTCTGCCCATCAGAGCCTGTAGAATAAAGGCTGTATCTCATGATATAAGGTTTCTTCACCTGACATGAATAAACACCCTACAGGAGAGCATACAGGAGAGAAGACCCACTGTAGTCTGACAGCTCTTGGATATCCAGGCCACAGCACTTCTCAGGAGAATATAAACACACACAACAACTGTATCATTCTTCAGGTTTAGAAGAGCTCCATACTGAAAAGTATTTCTGCATTAAGAAAGAGTTTTACTTTATTAGATCATACAGGCTGTTTAAACAGGACAGCTCAAAGTTGCAACTCTCTGCAGCTGTCATAGAGTTTAAACTGCATTTTACTGACACTAACCTGAACTGGAATCTCAATCCAGTCACTTGCTCCAAATTAAAAATAGAAGCAGTAATAGTTTACTAACATAAGCACCCATTGATTTTTATATTTGATTTTGTGTTTCAATATTGGTGGAAGTGGAACTTCTGTGGTCCACTTTTGTGAACTGTAGTACAGTCCTGTCTTGGTGCTTTGTTCAGAAATACATCTAATTATACCTGTACATATTGCAAAAAAAGTGTTACCACACAAATTTAAAACATCTGGAGTTGAACTACATGTCCATGTTTCTTATGGCTGTTACAGAATTTACATTAGTGTCACCGATTTTAATATTACTTTTGACCTCGACCAGCTTCTAAATATATATTTTTATTATTCTAATTAATTAGAAATTGGTTTAGTTATTTCATCTAAACTCATCAGTGAGCGTCTATGTCTTAACTAATACAGTCCTTAAAAGCAAAGGAGACAGTGATGGGTACTGCCACTATAAAAGAGAGAAAATTAAACAATCAAATGAGGCATTAGCATGTACATGGGTCACAAGACATTCGATGATCCTCATCACTGGGAAAAACTAAGGTTGCTGCTGGAAGCAGTGTTAGTGGGTCCAGCAGGGGGCGCTCACCCTGCGGCCTATGTGGGTCCTAATACCCCAGTATAGTGACGGGGACACTATACTGTAAATAGGCGCCGTCCTTCGGATGAGATGTAAAACCGAGGTCCTGACTCTCTGTGGTCATTAAAAATCCCAGGGCGTTTCTCGTAAAGAGTAGGGGTGTAACCCTGGCATCCTGGCCAAAATTTCCCATTTGCCCTTATCAATCATGGCCTCCTAATAATCCCCATCTATGAATTAGCTTCATTACTCTGCTCTCCTCCCCACTGATAGCTGATGTGTGGTGAGTGTTCTGGCGCACTATGGCTGCCGTCCATTATCCAGGTGGATGCTGCACATTGGTGGTGGAGGTGAGTCCCCATTCCCTGTAAAGCGCTTTGAGTGGAGTGGAGTGGAGGAGACCTGTCTCCTTCTACCGACCCTCTTAAAAAGAATTGTAAAGTGAAAGTTTAGTAATAAAACTGCATATTGATTAACAAAAGAAATAAAATGTAGTACTTTCTTAGTAAAAGTAATATAATAATAAAACATTTTTCTCTTCTTGTATTTTAAAGCTGTAAACACCAGTACATTTGAATTAATTATTTAATTGAAGGGTATCATTTTACTCTTTGTCTGTTTAAAGGTAACCATAGCTGATTTCAATTAATTATTAACCAACATGATGGCAGTGTAGCTACCTGCTAGTTTGCTGTCTTTTTAGAATGGATTGCCATGTGTTTATTATATGTCACTGAAGAAAAAAAAATCTTTTATACAATTTAATCTCTTTAATACAGTTTAATACAATTTTTAATCTCCAAAATCTCCAATGAAATCAGAAGACTAAGATCATGTAAAATGTGCAGGTAATTGAAATGGAGCAGGAAATGCATAAAAGCCCAACTAGAACAGAAGCTGAGAAACCACAGAAAAAAGTGAGATTTCGAGTGTCTTCAGCTCACAGTGGGAAAATATTGAAGGAAGTCTTCAAAGATGAAGGACACACAGACTTTATGGATTCTGAATGTGCCATCAGCTCAGAGACAGAGCAGATTAACTTGCGCAATGAAGCAAATGGGCACCACAATGGACACCTGGGTTTTGAGTATGATAACTTGCTCCTGTTTGCTGGTGCCTCCAAGGACAAGGCTTTCAGCACAAAGCGAGTTAATATACTGAGCAAAAATGGGACAGTTCGTGGTGTAAAGCACAAAGTGAGTGCTGGTCAAGTACTGTTTAACAACCTCTCAAATGTGTATGGGGTAAGTGATGAGAATTTTATGGTAATTTTATGACATTTCCAACTTACAAGTTTATAATAGTTCAAATAACATTTATTTTTCTTGTGAAAGTCATTCCTAGTAAAGTTCAAATACATTTTTCTGGATTCTTTTTGGATCTTATTCTTGTTCAAGATTTTTGTTGAGTGAAAACAGAATAATGTTCACTTAGTATACTGCATTTCACATAACTAAAACTTGATATTTGGGCATAACCACAAATCATGTAATAAAAATATTTTTATTTTAATATTTCTCTCCAATATGATTCTAGAGTATGCAGACTTATAGGTTCATATCTCTGGAATCAAAACTATGGTAAACGTGCTGATGCACACATTACCATAGAATCCTTCTGCACTGATAATTAGTCCTATTTTTAAGTAAAATAATAGTACAAAAGACATTCTGATTTATGATATTGTGTATTGTGATAATAAAAAACGCATACGTTACATATACTGTATATATAAGAAATATATATATATACTGTGTATGCTTCATCTTCTATAACTACAGTATATTTATAGTCTATGTGTTCTTGTCCTATATTTATATACACCTGAAGAAGGCTCCGCGACCAAAGCGTTGTGTTTCCTTTCTTTTCTTTTCAGCATGGAATAAACCCGTTACCTGTTCCTATATTTATATACACACTTTGCACTTGTTCTATATTTTTATGAGCCTTTTGTTTTATTAAATCATATTTAAAATGCAAATAATTAGAAGTCTCTATGACAATATAATTATAGTAGGTACAGTTTATCTTTTAACCACTGCTTTCAATGAAGTTGTGCCTGAACTGATGATTTTTGTCCACACCTGTGTCTTGTGTAGATTTATGTCTATACTTTTCCTTTCTGATGTGTAAGCTATGTGAGATCATTTTGAGGAAAAGGCCACTATTACTTAAAGATTAATGATCCAATCCAGTAAATGTATCAAAGAAACTTAATAGGGTTAACGTGATCCTGCAAGATTTCTGAATGCTAGGAAAACAGTTAATAGTAGTGGTCATATTTAATATTCAATTTCAACAGTTGACATAACATGAATTGAAGCAAGACTGATAAAATATCCTGACTGCAGATGTTTTTTTCTGTTACTTCTTGATAAAATAATATTGCTACAAATTTATGGCTTAGTTATAATTCAGCTTGTTAGCTTATGTTTGTTGGCAAAGTTGGAGATGAACTGCAAAAAGAAACAGCAGTTAAAGGCTAAAACATTTGAATAAACAGCAACACCGCTGTGCAAATCTCATTTAGATTAAATCAAAAGTATTATGCCACCAATGTCTTTAATACATATAAACCATCGATGGTTTGAAAGGATCCTATTACTTTCATTCTTGAAATCAGATTATATTAAATAATTAGGTATACATATATACTGTGTATATACAATACAGTATATAGGTTCACAAAACCTGGCGTCAAAAATACAAGCAACAGATGGTTGGAGCTTCCAAAACAGAAAAAGATCTGTTGAATGTAAAGAACATTTTTTCTTAATGCAAAAAATTCTAAATGCAGTTATTTAAATCACATCATGTTGTCACTTGTTTTAATTAAAACTCTGACTTGTATGGAGTAAAAAAAAGTATACTTTGGAAATAAATCAAATGTACTGTGCATACAGTATCTCATCCATATTACTTTAAAGGTGTATTGTAACAGTTGACTATTTTAACTGACCTTGATCTGCAACAGACTTTCGAATGATTAATGATACTAATTTTAATTGGGTGTTATGACATCCATATAGTGGAACAGTGAAAAGGAATAGAAATACAATTGTATTTTGGGTCTAGGTTTTCAGTATACATGTCTTTATTTATTGAGAATGCATATTTTCTAGCAGTGTTTTCTATCAAAATATTTTAATGAAATAGTGTATGAATTATTTAATAGATTAGGTTACTATTATACATTTACATATCAGGTCCAGAGACTACTTTGCCTTGCAAGCAAATTTTAAAAGCTAACTATATAATCAGGCAAAACCGAGCTGTAATACTTAAACGCATGTTTAATTTATTCTCTGGCACAGATTGGTAACAAAGTAAAACAAACAGCAACAAACAAACAAACATTTACACAAAACATCTATGCCTGTGTTGTAACAGACAAAAAAGTTCTGGATCCCGAGATGAAGTTTAAACAGATGAGTTTTATTGCATGCAAGGAACAATAAAAAACAAAGTATTGTTCAAAGTGCCGGTACAAAACTTCCAGTTTATATAGCCCTTTTCTGCCGCTTCTGACATAGCTTGTTACCATGGTAATGGGGGGAGGTCACAGTGTCCTGCCAGTTCACAGACTTTGGTCACTCTTAATGGTCCATGTTAGGTTTCCTTCCCTGGGGAGTTTCCGAGCTGGCCTCTGGAATTCTTATCAGTTATCCCCTTTTCCTGCCATAACTCTAAGCCTGTTACTTAGAAGTCCACTCCTCATGCAGAAAGGACTCAGTTAACCCCTTCTTCACATCTAGATATTTACAAAACTGAATTTGAGAGACTTTCAGACACAGATAAACAGAAATCCTGTGAAAAAGGTACAGATACCACAAAGGATTAAAAGGAAACCTGTTTCGTATCAAATAAATGAACCCAGGACTAAATAAATCCCTAAAATGGATGGTATACAAATGGGAACAATTTTTAGCAGTGTGTAATTATTTCATCAGCTTGGGAAACCCCTGTTTTGACAATTATAATGCCACCGTACATTACATAAAAATAAAAAAGTACATCTTCAGTGCTCAGATTACTTGAACATGGTCTATTTGTCTGGTCTATGAAGGAAGAGCTCTGTTGTAGTGCTGATGCTTCTCTTATCTTCCTTTTCCTCTGTTCCTCTATTCCATATGATTTCTGATTGTTATATTTCTTTTGGTGATTTGGAGATATGGTGTTAATTTTGTGGCATTTATGTTTATCTGCCCGACAATGCACTGGAATATTGTCCAGAGTGTATCCTGCCTGTTGCTTGCCGGATAGACTCCTCCACGACCCTGTATAAGATAAAGCAGTTTGAAAATGAATGAATTGATGGATGGATTCATTAACCATATATTTAAAATTACATATTCCAGGAAGTATAACCATGCCACACACACACACTTTTTTATCATGAATGAAACATTTAACATAAATCTAACTTTAAAAATAACAATATCAAATTCTGAAACTAATTCAACAATCACAATAAATGTTAATATCAATACAACTTTGATAATAACAAAAATGCTGAATAAGCAACAAACAAACCTCATATCTTATTTAGTTTGTCTGCACCAAAATACTGTACATACTGTAATATACAAATAAAAAGAAGTTAGCTCACTGTAGGCACCTGTCCCTATCGACAGAAACATACTCTATGGTGTTTACGACTTAAAGTTTATATGCAATATTTGCCAGTAGCCCTGGTGCCTATTGGATATTGGTGATTATTGGAAGTTTTCTAGTTTAAACCTTTTTATATTTCTAAATTATTTAAAATTGATTAGACAAAATTGGAGTTTGTATATTCTCTCCATGTTTTGTAATTAGAGTTGTTTATGTAATTAGGGACTCTGATATGTAAGTTATTGCTTTTGATATTTTTATGTGTAACTAAAGGCTCTGTAAAACAGTGGTGCAAAGCTCTGGTCCCCAGCAGCCACAATCCAGCAGGTTGCATTGACTGTTTTTAGATCAATATAAAAATCAAAGAATGTTAGATTGGTCCAGCTCAGACAACTACTGTTATTTCAAACTGGACTGGTAATGAAGTCATATGGAAAAAAAACCTAGGACACTGTGGTCCAAGAGGATTAGAGTTTTTCACTAAGATTTTGTTACCAAATTAGTTTAAATATAATTGCTTCTTTTGAAGGTTTCCCTCTGGGGCAACAGTGTACCACAGAAAGAAAAACATTGAGAGGTGTCTGCAAGAAGCTTCTAGGATTCAGTTGGACGTTGAAAAGACTTATACCACAATAGCTCAATAAACATTTGACTCTACAGACTTACCATAAAGCCAGAAATCTTTGTCTTTGTTTCTGAGACTTTGACAACCATTTATGAAAAGATCCATTAATTACTTCTTAGTGATTTTTAATTTATTTGCTACTAAATCTGATGTGGACACACAAATATTATCTATTGTGGTGTCTCCGGGGGAAAGTTTACGTAAATTAGAAAATTAATCACACCACACTTTTCTTTCTTCATTTTCGGGGAGTTTCTTCCATCCAAATATCTTCCAAATCCAGTCCGTAATTCATTCTCTTAATCCTGATCTGATCCGAGTTCCAAAGTCCGTGAAATAACACCAATCCGCGCCATATCCAATCCACAATCTGAAAACTGTAAAATAATATCTGAAAACCGTCTATGTCAAGTATATTAAGGAGTTCATTCCGAAAATACCTGTTATGAATGACCCTTCCCCTGACCATCATACATTCCCTCCCCCTAAGATCAGGCCCATCCTTGGGCTGTCTATACAAAAATAAACAATGCTTTCGGAGAGGGCATCTACAGATGCAGCCATTCAAAATGGCAGTAATCTACCCACAAGCCACCGCTGGGCACCATAGGACACCACGGTAAGTGATTGGCTGGCCAAAATGACCGACAGGGGCACTCGTGGTGCATTGGTTGGTAGTGAAAAGATTTAATCATTTAATGTCTTTACTGTGCACATTTTAATCCGCTTAGTTTTGAATATTTATATGGAATTTTACCACTAAACGGAAATTTTAGTAGCTGAGCATAAAAAGAAGAGGAGCATAACGCATCTGAAGGTCATAAGCGATCTCAATTTAGGAACATAAACATTACTGTATGTACATAAACTGTACTGTGTATGGCTGGGCTTGGTAGTTTAAAGAAAAAATACACACCAGTCTTCCATTTCTCCCTAAAGATTTTAAGGATGAAAGTTTTATGAAATGGTACCCAAATATGCGATTGCTGTATAGAATG